CATACACACACACAGATACTCACACACAAATATATACAAAAATAGGTTCTTGTCAGAGCCATGTGATGTGCAAAATCTGTCCAGCAACCTCTCCGAGGTGCATGTCGGGTAATGCTAATGCCCGCGGTATATGCCATAAATGCAAGGGTTTCTTTAAAGTTCTGTATCTTTGCGGGAAAAAATGGTAGCGGTTTTTCACATACTGGAAATTAAAGATGAAGGTTTGTACTTTATGCTGCTGTAAACAGTATCACCAAAAAAAAATGTGGCAAGTCCATGCATTTCGTCAAACTTTGTAATTTTCAATATTGCAAACATGATCTCACATTTACGGTGTTATTGTGGTAGTGATGCATCAAATCTAAAATCAAACTACAGGGTCTTAAAGTAGAGATCTCAAGCTTTAATTTGAAAAAAAGAGCATAACTTTGCGATGATTTTTCACGGAGTTATCGTCAGTCAAATTTGGCCAATTTTTGCCTAAAATTTTTCTATGCCATATTTCTTTTGAGCAGTGTATATATATATATATACATGTATATGTATTACTAGCCTATACTCGAGTGAAAAGTAGGATTGCTTTGGATAAGCACCAGAGTGGAGGGAGGAGCTTGTCACTGTTTATTTTTCATTTTAGAGTATCAAATTTTCAAGTCCCTGAATTTCCTACGTTTACATTTGCAAAATATCAAATTATCTATCAAATCTCTAATTCTCAAATTTTTAAAACCTCAAATTTCCATATTCATAAATTTATAAACTATCAATTCTAAAATTACCACATTTTTAGATCTCCAAACTGCTGAATTTTCAAATTTCCATATCCTCAAATTCTCAAATTTTCAAATCTTCAAATCCTCCAATTTCTTCTTATTGTCAAGTCTCAGGTTCGTACATGGTCCTAATTCGATGGCTAGGGACTCTACTTACACCGCACTTATACCACACGTACTTACACCGCATTTTTCCGAAGAGCTTATTTCAAAATTATATCAAGGGTTTACTTCAAACTCACCGTTTGACTAAATCATATGATTTCAAAAACTTTGTAAAGTGTCTTTCTATAAAATTGTGGATTAGAATAATAACTGTTCATATATAACCCTGCAAAATATAATTGTAAAGGTGTTAAAATTTAGCTTGAAACATGCAAAAAAAAAACAGTGTATAGCAACCTTATTACACTCTCGTGGGTTCCTTTGAACGTATTATGATTTTATTCCTTTAGTGCAGCGATTTCCGACCCTTTTCGTGCATGGACTTTTTTAACGTAATGGTTGCCTTTATTGACCCCTCTTAAAAGAATAGTTTTCTTTTACCAACCCTTTTTAAAAGAATGGTTTACTTCAATGTCCCCCTTACACTTTTTCCCATAATACATATACAGTATACAATATAATCATAATACAAATAATTGCACATAAATAATTTAAATAACATAAAAATAACAATTGGACTATGAATATGAACACAATTTTATTGCAGTTCATTAATTTTGCGTTCTTCGTATTTTCTTAGCTGTATTTTTTTTATTCTTCCGCGTTACTCTGTACATTGCTTTTATTGCATACAAATTGTATTTTTAAAATATATTAAATAATTTTAGTGTTTTTTTTTTTTTGTTCTCTTATATTTATTGTATATGATTTCTTCCTTATTACATGGTAGTTTAATATCATGATAGTTTAATAATTAATATTAATTAATTATTAACTTTATTCATAAATTTTTCTTTATAATCAATTGGATCTTGATTATATTTATATGTATATTCGGCTGTTAATTGCCAATGAACCTCTTGATCACCATTGATTTTCCCGTTAAAATTTTATAGTAATCCAGAGAATCAATTGAGAATCTGTTTTAGAAACATCTGCTATTATCATAAAAATGCCAAGAAGTTATTATTAATATGCACATTTTTGCTTTCTGGGTAATATAAATATGTTATCTATCTTTGTATGACGTATCAGTGTGAGATATTGTTATACATAAAATTTTTTATAAACATATCGAAACATACTTGAAGTGAAGACAGTTACGTTGCACAGTTAAATAATTGCATATCAAGTTATTAATTTGAAAAATCGAAAGATTGACACGATTTGTTGAAATAAAGTACCATGAAATAAGTTCTATTCTGTTTGAATAGAATATTCTTGCTGAAAATAATTACACATACCGGCACCTGATATTAATAACTTTATAACTTTTATGTAAATATAAATTTGTTATATCGGATGTTGATATGAACCACTGGTGAGGAAACTAGGAATAAGGTGGTGAAAATTAAAAAATTGAAGAACTAGAAAATATTATTTTTAAATCTGGTATTTAAAAATTTAGAATTTGGAAAGTTAGAAGTTTAGAAATTGTATTCCTTACATTCAAAATTTGGAAATTGAGCAATTTGGAAATTTAGGAATATAGATGACTGTAGATAAATGTAGCTGATTTAGAAATATAGACTTGATTCATAACGTTGAAAATTGGTAATTTGGAAATTTGGAAACATAGTTACATATATATTTGAAAATTTCTTTTTCATTTTATAATAATATTTAAATATTTCTCAAAGCAAAAGAATACAATAACTGTGAAAATGATTCATTTTAATGTTTAAGGTTTTAGTATATCTTTAAAATTTAGATTTTACTGTTTAATGCATAAAAAAATAAAATCAATCGAATTTATTGAGGGTGAATATAGATAATAACATTCTTTATCGCGAATTTTTCGTGGCTTTCTGTGGGTGCTCACGAAACATCTTGAGCGGGACTCGAACATTCGCGGAATCTCAAGCTTGTAGATTTCTTCATGTGAACCTGAACGATTACGAGATTAAGTTTTAAACCAGAAACCCTGTCGAGATCACGATGAAAAAATGAAACTGGTTCCAGAACCGATAAGGAAACGGAATCGCATTCACTGAAGTTTCAATAGATGCAACGGCTCGTTCATTTCCTCTGCTTATGTTTATCAGGAGCGTTAGACAAAATTTCGCAACTGTACCTATTATGTAAACACGCAAAGTGTTTTTCAGAAATAGAGGGTGGACGATTTCCGTTTCCTGTGTAATTACTAGACTGGTATCAGGTTATTTACAATTACCGTTATTTTAAACTTCAATGCTTGTTTTGGACTAAAGATTTATGCATGATTTTATAGACAGAGGAATCATTTGCGACTCTTGATTTTTAACATTCTTAAATTTAACAATTTATGAATTCAGAAATATGTAAAATTTGGAATTTCGGAATTTGTAAGTTTGAAATTCGTGATTTGGAATTCTGAGAATTTGAAAATGTGAGAAGTTTGTGATTTGATAATTTGAGAATTGGATAATGTGGTGATTTGGAGATTTAAAAATTTGATAATTTGTTGATTTGAAAAATTAATAATTTGGTGGTTTTAAAAATTAAAAAATTTAAAAACTTGATAATTTGATAATTTAAAGATATAAATATTTGGTAATTTAAAAATATACAAATTCGATAGTTTGATGATGTAAAAATTTTATGATTTGGAACTATAAAAATTTGATCATTTAGAGATACAGAAATTTGATAAGTTGAATAATAAGAATTAAAAAATTTTTATTTTTGAAAGTTGTAAAATGTTGATATAGAATATGTGAGGTATCCTAGGGCGAGGCAAAGAAAGCCGAACAAGCACAATGTTTAACAGCATTTTGCTTATGTCATGCAACGTTCAAATCATCCTCTATATCTTTGAGATAAATTCGACTTTATGGTAAGTTAGGTACGGTTGGTGGTTATTCTATGGTTAGTGGATAGCAACTTAACAATATATTCTCATTCCGAACCGTCGATTTTAAACAATTGTTGATCATATAATTTGACAGTTTTCTTTTTTAAATTCTTTATTTTTATTATTCTTCGTTACTTTATTTAAAATTTGTATTACTTTATTATTTTGTATTGCTTAAAATTCTTTACCACTTTATTCCTTTTTATTACTTAAAGTTATAGTAACTTTTCACAATATGTTATTTTTAATCGTTCCTTCAGCTGACGTGGTTGTATCTATGTAAAAAAGAACTCAGATATTAATCCGTTCAAAAGTGGTTATCTCGAGCAAAATTTTATAAGAAAATGGTTGTCATATAAAACCGAAAGTTATACAAATTATAAACTTCTTTAACTTTTTCTGGCGATAAAATGAAAACTTTTGTCCAGTACAGAATGTTCAGCTTATTTTCTTCATTTCTATTTGCACGATCTTGAAAGTTACAATTATGCGTGTTATATAATTATACAATTGATACGTGCTCTCGTACAACATTAAAGAATATATGGCATTTCGTTCAAAAAACTGAAGGTCACCTTTATTTCTCAAAAAGTAATACGAATATAAACAGTCAATATAGATCACCGTGTTGCTAAATTGTGAATAAATTTTTGTTAAGATGAATTGCTTTAATCCCCACATATGATTTGTTCGGTAGCTGCGTCAGTCAAACCCAGTTAATTATTACTGGAATATTAAGATAAATCAAAATTTATCAGTATTTATCAGAATTTAACAGTAATTTTAGCAGTAATTTTACAAACCGTATTCATATGGAACTCAAAATTCAATCCTTGTGCAAATACCATTTGTATATATTTCTTTTTATTTCAAGAGAAATTTATTTGTCCACTTTTTTAAGGATTTGAAAAGTTATTTCTTTAATCTTAAAAGTGTTCTTTATTAATTTTGAAAATGACTTAAATCCATTTGTGGTCATGAAAACATTTTTTGAACAATGTTTATGATATCAATTGGATTGGTACATTATATATGTACACTTAGAATTATAAGAACATCAAACTATCATGTTATCAGTTAGCAACAGTTTTAAATAGATTAAAACGCAACATCTTATATATCCCGATATTAAAATAAAATAATTTTGGACACTTTCAAAATAAACGGCTCATGTACGAAATTAATATGTATTGTATGATACCCTACTTATTTAGTATCTGCGATATTTAATCGAAACTAAGATATTAATTGGTTTAAAACATTTGCGGCGTACATGTATATGCAATTTCATGTAATAAAAAGCTGTAATTGATGAATAGTGCGTGTACCATGGAGCGGATACAGCAAAGCAGACGTGGAAAGACAGTATGTACATTGGAAACGTGGTGTAGCTATGGACTTGTATGATTTTCCACCATTGCTGAACAACCTACTGGAAGCTGGACTACAATTGGATGCGAATAAAAGAACATTGGACATGAACAGAATGCGCAGATTTCTTCAAAGATTAGAGGTTTGTTTTTTTTTTAATGAAAATAAGACGTTCATTTGTATAAATAATTTATTTGCACACATAATTCTTAAGTTCAGTTTGATTTTATACCTCATCATGTTTGCTGGTTTATCCTTTCGTTACTAACGATTATAGTATGTCAGGGAGCACATTTTTGTAGAGATCAAATGAAACTGTTAAAATTTTCAATCAGTTATGAAATAACAATCACTTTTGTACCAAAATTACCAAAATCCGCTAAGCAAAAATACTACCTATTTCATTTTTTATTGGATGTTTTATTTGTTGTCAAACATTTTGACACTAAAATTTAAAAAAAAATCAAAAAGTTACTTCAGTTTCTGATCTGTAAAACCGTTATTATACTATAATAACAAACATTATGAAATTAATTATTATTATTATTATAAAAGTGTGGCAATGACTAGCTTCGACAAATATTAAGTATGACACAATTTTATAGCAAAGAAACTGCATATATTGATATTTATCTTACGGTCATTTAAAGCTTTAGATTTATTAAAAATCACTAGATGGGCCTTCCAATAATAGCTTGAATTTTTAACGTTGAGTAATTGTCAAAAACACTATTAAGTTAATACGCAATTAAACAGTTTCCTGACAACAGAACAGTATAATTAAAATAATAATAAAAGATCTTAGAGTAACGTGCTGCAAACTTTATTCTATAACTGATGTGGCATATGTTATAGTATTTTTATATCATCAGCTTTCGTTCTGAATTCGAACATTTAATATCATTATTTTGACCTAATAAGATTTAAACTTCTTAACGATTTGATAATTTCTCTCAGCTTAATATGAAATTAAGTATGCTATCAAGGCCGCATTTATTCGAAGGCGTATTAAACTGGTGCCTCAATTTATTATATGTGTCCACATTTTAAAACGTTTCTCTTCTTTTCAAGTCAGAGAAAGAATAGTCAAGTTAAAATTACACAGTAAAATACTTATTTTTATATCTTTTAAATTTATTGTATAAAAATTAAAAGTTAGAAAAGGAATAAAAAAACGTGTGATTGATGTCGAAGTTAATGTAAGAGTATAAAACTAGTATAAAATTCTTGCAAAATTTCGAAAAATTAATACAAGAATATAAAACTATTTAAAAGTATAGGACCACTATTAACTCAGAAAAATTTATTGACGAAGATAAGCAATTTTTAACAGGGATAAAACAAGAAAATGACTTAATTATAAATTCGTATAAATACGCTGGTTTCAATGTTGGAATGAATACAAAATTATTTAAAATGCAACTTGTACCAAAGTAAAATAAGTGACACATTGTTATTAATTAAATAAAATGTAACAGACTCAATTTAAATTTGAACTGGCTTTTTTTTATACTTTTTTCTTAATACTATAATTTTTCTTAATAATATAAATAAGTTATTATACAAATGTCGTATTTTATATTTAATAAACTTAAAAACAGAAACGTATTTGAATTCAATTGACAAAAATGAATTTGCTTTGAGATTTTGTAATAAGGATGCGACTAGGGCCTCCAAAAGTATAGATGCAGTACTAATTTTTAAATTGACATACCATCACTTTGACCAGATAAAGGTTGAATTTCTAAATGATTTTATAATTTTTGCTTTATATGAAATTAAGTATCCTAAAACTTTTAAATACGGGCTCTTCAGTCAAAATTTATGTCAAATGGATTACAAAAAATCATTATACTATTTCTGACATCTCCAGATGCAATACGAAGACGAGGAACCAGTGTACATCGACCAGTACGCTAACAACAACAACGATACTGGAAAGACTTTCGTTCTTCCCGTGACAAGATCTCCCTCCGTGATCTCTAGAAACAAGAGTTCAAAAGTAACTAGAAGTATTTCAGCGAAAATTCCGGAATCACCGACAAAACAGTATTTATACCAAAAACGGTCGAAACAAAACGGAAACGTGAAAGCCACGACTCACATCGAACAAGTAAACTTTTTTGGCGAAGATGTTAAACCCATCGCTAAGGAAAACCTACAGAAAAACATGAATATGCTTTGTGCCACGCAAAATAATTATAAGAAACATAACTATTCGAATTGCAACTTAGAAGCTTCGGATATCGGTCCGAACGATGAAGCTAACTCGGAGGAGACTTCTCAACCTTGGAGCAGCACTTACAAGAGGGTAAAAGGACCACAAGAAACGGTGGAATCCAGGACCACGTCGGTGTACTCGTCACCGTTGTTGGATTCCACTGATGACGAGTCCTTCAAAGACGCGAGAACCAATTTGAAACAGCTGAAGAAAGTATTGGCGAACAGGAGGGAACATTTCTTCTACGGCAGCGATTCGTCGCACACCTCCGCGGAAACGAGTACGTACTGGAATTTATTTTTTAGTCCTTTGAATAAAAGTTATTCCTGTACACACTGCCTGACCATATTTATCCATATTTGTTGCAAATATAATATTAACAGAAATATTTTATTTACAAACATTACATAACAAAAAATGGTCTTACAATTTATACAGTGGGATGTTTGATATCGGTTTAATATAGAAATTTTTCGTCGATCTTGATGATCCTGAAATGTACATTCCTCTGCATTTGATTAAACACTATAATATGTTTCCTATAATATTCTCTACTATATCTTAAATTAAAAAATTATATTTTTTTAAGTCAAGTTTTATATTAATAAATTATATTTTTCTTTGATGGAAGTATACTCATTTGGTTTGAGGAATCACATATTTAATGATATATATCATTTAGACATATAGTGTAGAGATATCTATCTTCTGAAGAAAAAGACACGAACCTTCTTGCATTACCTGAATAACATCTCGTTTCTGAACTGTTTCCACGTAACTGTCCACCCCGTTTTTGTGTTCATCTTTTGCTTAGTAACGGATATAACACCGAGAAGATACATCGGAAAAAGTCGTGACGAAGAAATATTTATAGAAAGGAGAAATAGCAATGCAACTTAGCTCCGAAGTAATAAAGAATATTGAAGTATTATAAGAAAAGTATTCGAACAAATATGTCGCGAAAATAAACAGAAATGAATTTGTTATTCGTTCATACTAAAAAATAACGAAACCTGTATAGAGGCACCGTTAAAAGAGCTTTAAAAGTATTTTATTAATTTCGGGATGAACATAATCTCTTATATTAAGTACTCCTATAAATAAATGCGCAAAGTTTAAATATTTTAGAATTTTAGACCTTTATGAAATTTTAATAAGTGTCCTACAATTTTTAAGCAGGAATGTATACAGTTTATACTTTATTCAATTACTAATCTACAAGTACTAATTTATGTAATTCTTTAATAAAATTTGTTTATATACGTGTTGCCCTAGGTTTAAATGACAAAAACAGAATACTCGATGAAACAAAAAGTAAATCTTACGAACCACATAAGCCAGCCAGCCATAAAACTAGCTTCGAACCAAAATACAATAAATGTCCCAATCAATACGACTCTACTTATATAAAATCGTCTTCGCAACAATGTCGAAAGGTATGCTTTTTTTTACAAATGTTTCTCCAAGAACTTTATCGAACCCGTCTTCAAATGAATGATTTTTTATTACCTTTTCATTTTTATAGACTCCTTACATGCACACACCTGAAAGTATTAAAGATGCAATAATTCAACCAAAAGTATTAAATTCAGATCCTCAAAGCTTTTTTGAAACTTCGTTATGGAGGAAGGAGAAATTAATTTGTTTGTCCAAAATGCGGAAATCATATTCTGATGAATCAGTAAGTAATTATTATAGAATTACTATAATAATTGTAGATTTAAAAACACATTAAGTGAATTTTAAGAAGAGAAATTAATAAATAACTGCAACTATGATTTTCCTTTTTTTACAGCCACAATATCCTGCGCAACATGCGGATGATAACGAAACAGTTTCAACCGAAACTTTTACCATACCTAGAACGAGCGAATCGATTTTTTCAGTACAGGGCGACAATACTTATGTAGTAAATAATAAGCTAGAAGGTAATACATAAATCCATATATCGATATTTTGATTTTAAAATAAGATGAAGCTAGTACTAGTAAATTGTTTGTCACATTCGCTGCGGATAATAGAGCTGACGTCATCCATCTAATTTAAGTAACCCTCATTCTAATCTCAATTAATTATAACTTTAACTTAACCCAGCTTAACTTAACCTGAATGGTATTTTTACCATATTTTTTACTGTTTATACCTCATTTTAGCTTTGTAAAGCTAAAAGAACGTAATTGCAAAAAATATATCTTGTTTTTCATTCATCTTTGAATCAAAATAAATATAGACCTTAGCTTTTTATACATGCGTTTTGTACATGACAAGTAGTAATTTATTTGTCTTTCATTATGCTAATCTCATAAGAAAGATATTGTAATTAGATTATATTTCTTCAAAATTTGTAATCTTTTGTCATCTTTGCTCTAATGATTAGCCTCTACAACGGAAAACGACCAAGAAAAATCGACGCAGATTTCTGAGAATGCAAGCGATTCAGCCGAAATTTCGAATACTCACAATCAGATTGAATCATTGCAAGTTTTGAAAGATGCGTTGGACCGTGCCACAAAAATTGTACGCCCTGTTACTCCGAACACCGACGATTCTTGTACATCACTTCCATTTAAATCTTATCAGGAGTTTGAAGTCGAAGTGGACAATGGCCAAACATGCAAGTCTATGTTTGAAGAGTTGTACGATTTACATACGAACAAAGACAATGAAGAAATTAAAATCATTGAAAGATCAACAACGAACAACGTATCATTTTTGTTAAATGAGAATATTTTCAGCAGTAACATAGACAGTAACGTAGATCAAAACAAATCTGAAAACGAAATCACTGTCAATATTATTAGTCACGAGAAACCAAGTTATTCCTATGATGCATCGTACGGTAGAAGTTTCATCTGCGAATCAATTGCTGAAGTGTCAAGCGAGTTTAATAGCTCGTGCAATGATATAAAGTCGAGTAAACTAACAGAATCTTCGAACGATCAAATAACCAATGTTGAAGAAGATAATTCCTTAGAGACTGTGCAATCAACCGCGGTCACGATCGATATCAGTGATGTTGATGCTCAGATAGAAATAAAGGAAAACGAGAAGAAATCAACGGAGAATTTTGATTTGATGTTCTTAAATGATACTCCAAAAAACAAAAATTGTAAGTCGTGTCATCGAAATGCTTTACCAAGGAGACGTTCTTTACCAGCAGCGTTGAGTCAATTGAGATCAATGAATAACTCGGCTTTAGGGAAATTACCTATACGCAGAGGGGTAAGCACTTCATTGAATACATTAACTATGAAGTACTTTATAGACTGTAATTGTACGGGGTGTTCCGGTATAACACAGTTAAAATATAAGTTGAGAATGTAAAATAAAATTTTTGAAGAAAAACTTCCATGGATGCAGTTAGATGGGAGAACATTAATGGTTCATCAGATTCGAACATAGCGAATAGTGCAAACAAATTATCAGTTTTAAAAATAGTTCTTAATTATCTGACTAACTTGAAATTATCAAGTTCTATACTCCCAAATTCTCCAATATTTAATACTTTAAATTTCCAAATGACATTGAATAAGCAGATTATCTTATATGTACAGCGATATCAGTCGGCAGAAGTCAACCGAGTGCGTTTGTACCCAAAACAACTATTTTTGATTTCCTAAAAAATGAAATAATATTCAAAAACATTTTATTCTACATTTTTATCTTATCTTTTCGTATAAAATTATCTCTTTCATATATGGCGAAATTACGTATATATTGTATATACTGTCAGTTGTTTTTACAAATTAGCTTTTTTTAACTTTTTTATTATTTCACATAATTTACTTGAGCATTGCATAATTTAAAATTTAAGTTTATTTATATTATTTTTGTATTATTATACGCATATTATTTTAAATACATTAAAATTAATATTAATTTATATACAATTTGCAACATTACGATATTTGTATAAAAATTTAAGTCGAACATGATTTTTTCCCTTTTCAAATGAAATAACTCTATACATATAATTAAACCGAATTTTAAACTACGTTAAACTTATACATAATACAAAATCGTTTGTTTTTTTATTGTGAAATGTATATTAAAATATGTTTACAGGATGTTCCTGATAATACTATTGAAGATTTATATATAGATGATGAATTTGGCGACAGTTTAAACGTAAACATGGTTTTATTAGACGAAGATTTATCGGTTGACGAAGATTTCTTACTTAAGATGACAGAGCTATAAAATACTATGGAATAATAATTATGGTTTACCTTATTTGAAGTATTGCTAATAATTTATTAAATTTCATACATAAACATAAAGTTCCAATTATAGTTGGAATAATCAATACTAAAGATCAAAAGCATACACATATTTCGTGTTCATTTACAAAAAAATATTCATATATTTTGCAATTTAATATATATCAGTTAATACATGACTGTGTATTTTTATGTTACGTAGAATATATGATCAACTACTACAAAGTACTGTAATAATTAAATGCAGTAATATTTTCATGTAAAACATATGTGTAAATAATAAATAGTATCATTTATATGAAACATACAACACAATAAATCATTTTAATATTAATCTTTAGTTCATGAACTTATATAAATACTACAATTAATGAATACAATTTAGTATTTCAAGCACTATGTATTTGCAATATAAAAAATACATAATATTATTGAAAAGAAAAAGCTATTATGAAAAATAGATTCCATTTTTCCTATATCATACTTGCTATAATTTATGCAACGTATTAAACAAAAGTTTAGTATTTTTCTTTAACATCTGTTAGAAACAGTTAGTACACTAATATCAATTAAATTGCCAGGCCAAATACAGAAACAATACAATACATTGTTTTATTTTCCCAACGTACTGTACAACTTCCATCAGTTGCATTATCCCAGAAACACGAGCTTGCTGTATGCAATCCTGCTCCATTTTTCTGCATGATGGTGCAGGTAACTAAAAGAATTTTAAATATGTAAATTAAATAAAAATTGAAATAAAATTAAGCAATTTAATTTTCTATGCTACTAGCATACAGTAAAAAAATTAATTTTCTTAAATGTAGTAAAACTCACCTATATATTTATATGGTTTCTGAAGTTTTGTAAGTTTACCCAAACATCCTTCAACAACATTCGATGCCCACTGATTTAGTTTATTATGTTGGTAAGCATTTCCACCAATATTCATTTCAATTGCCTCTTTAATAATTCTACTTACATCATCCACCACAAACTGAATCTATAACAATAAAATATCAAAAAAATTATGTAAATATTTAACTTTCTTACCTTGCATTTTACTGTATAAATAATAATTCACAAAAATTATTTATTCTTATGAATAAAATTAATCAACACCTTAAATTTCAAATTATTCAAATGTTCAAACTTTAAGAGAGGAATTTAACAAATTAAACATGCAAGAATCTTGTAACTTTGAAACTACTGGAGATACATATATGACTTTTCAACCACGGGAAAATAATGTATTATCTCATTTTTAACAATTAAATTGTACATTGAACTTTATTGGAATAAATGGTTTTTGAAATAGTCAACCTGTTTCGTACATATACAAATTACATAGTTCGTGTAAGACTTCTAGCGCAGAATAATGGTATCAAGTTAATCAGCTCTAATTTAATCTATGACATGAAAAAAATAAAAGTTAAAAAATATTTGTTTCCATATTTTTCATAACAAATTATTAGCATATTTAAAATTTGTTATATCTAAAATTTCAGTTAAAGAAACATTTTTTTATAAAACTTTAGGAGGATATAGTTCGGAGTAAGTGCATTTTTGATACATATATATATATATATATATAAGGCAATTTTACCTTCTTCTGAGTTATACATTAAGCTATTTTATTTTTTACTACCAATTCTAGAGTATTCTGTATAATTTATAGACATAATTTAAACTTGCATATAAAAACAATATTGCTGTAACTTTCTAGTACCTACCCGACTATTTTATAATCCATTTATTCAAAGCACATTGTGTAGTATGAAAAATAAATTCCATTGAAACTTAAATATTACAGTATCTAATTGTAAAACAATACATAGGTAGATTTATATTAATTACTAACAGGAATTTACCAAATCTTCTAGAAATTTAAAAGAGATAATTAAAGTTAATTCCTGATTCAAACAAAATGATTTATATCACTCAAAGGACTGAAGAATTTAATATAAAAAACGTGTAAAATGTTATTCTTCCAAAAAAAGTAGAATTTAAGCTGTTATAGTAAACTATAAACTGTTAGGGTATTTAAAAATATTTTCAGAAAAAAGTGAATACTAACCTCTTCTTGCATATCTTCCATCATCTTGACGAATTTTTTAATAAATTGGAAACTAATAAAAAATTTGTATATCAAACCAAAATTTTATTTAAACGATTAAAGTATGGCTTTTTTAATTTATATTAATAACAAATATTATATTATTTATATCTTTAGTAAGTCGGTGCACAGAAAAATTATACACATATTTTCTTATATCTTATCTACTAATTAAGAAACACTAATATAAATGAATTAAGCAATATATTTCATTTCTAAAATCTGTCAGAAAAAATGTTTGCTACCTTCAACGAACAAAATAAATTGATTATTACAAGTACTGTCACCGTGCTGTCACCTACTTGACACTGCAGCCAACTGTAACTACCATTGATAACTGACATTTATTCAAATACCATATATGCACGTTATATGTGATATCTTCATATATGTTTTCATATGTTTTTCGATAACGCATCTAATAAAAAATATACACACATATATATAGTAAATATTCATTTCAACAATAAAACTTAATACAATAAATATGAAGTAGTGTAATATAAATGTATTTTATTTAAATCTGCAAAATATTATACAGCAACTGATAATTTATTGTTACAATAAGTAAAATAATTTATTATTTTATTGTATTTAATTTCGTGGCAATAACAAGTTAATTTACATTAAAAAATGATTACACAAGTACAACCAACTATGGTATTAACGCTGTTAAACAACGTGACAACACCGCTCAAGTGAGGACCGAAATCCAATTTTCAAAAGTGGAGTCTTGTTACTCAGGACTATAATAATAATATACACTGTCGGTTACTAATATATACGTGACACATAAATATCGTAACTATAGTAAGTAGAAGTAATATAGAAGTATACCAATATTCATAAATGTGGTATACGTATAATTGTAGACTCTGAAAGTAATTTGGTGTTGTAATGAATTATATTTGAAATGTTTTAAATGGTTTCGAAAGAAAACAAGTGTAAAGATTGTTAATAAATATTTAAGAATTTACGAAAAGATGAATCAGTAAATAGAAATCTAAAATAAACAAAATTATTGATACAATGGTTAAATGAACATGTAGAAGAGAATTATACGGTTAATACATTTTGAAGTTGGGATACGTAGATAACTTCTTGTTAAGCATTGTGTCGTTAGCGACAGTTCTGTATCGGCTATTGACACGAAAGAATAAAATAAAGAAGTATATTTTAAACGTGTCACTTCGCAATAATCGATAGAAAAGTGAATTAATAGCATTTACAATACTTCGAGTCACTATGTAATAATTCTCTATTTTTATGAGAAACTTGTAATTTTATATTGCCATTGATTACAATCTGTAATAAATTCTTGAATACATTATTTTAATATTTCAACAGTTTGAAATTTCAGGCACTCCTCATGATTTCTAACTAAATTTAAAAAATTATTAACTAAATCTCAACTAATAACTTTTTCATCCAAACTTTCATGCTGTTGAATTACTTTTTCTAGATGCCCTGCAGAATCTTTTCTTTGAGATCACACATATTTTGTAAGATAAAATGGTGAATTAGGAATAATGGAAAATGCTGCATTTGTCATAAGTTTTAGACATCTCAACAAAGCATTCTCAAATATACTGTTGGAAGATAGAATACTTTGGTAAGCTAAACTTTACTTTAGAGCACACTTTTTTTTACCATTTAGTGGTTTTAATAGTTTTTGAAGCCTAAAAAACAAAAATGCAAGTCTTAATGTTAGGAATCCAGCAGTTAAAAAATTATGCATATGTAAAGTTGAACATTTTTGGCTTATTTGGCATGTAAGTGCGATGCCACATTGACTTCTATCTATAACTCAACTAATGATTAAAGAAACATACATTACTATTTTAATGATATTGTCTACCTAATTGACCAATAGAATACGAGGTGCGATTATTAAGTTCCGGGATTGTGTCTGTTGTGACCAAACGGATCACACAATCGACTTACGCTTGCAGGACATATGAATAACAATCTTTGAGATATATGACACAAAGTTTAGAAGTGATATCTTCATTGAATTCTGTGTTATACAAGTTTATGGTAGCATCCGCACGCTCTCCTTTGCGAAACCACGATGGACTCTAAATTGGAACAAAGGGATATAAAAAAAAAAATTAAAGCTCAAGGGTCGCCAATTTGACATGGTGGACAAGATTCAACGTGAATCGCAGCAGGTGCTTGACATGCTTCGACAAGAAGACTTCTAGGAAGCTTTCCAAAAATGGCAGAGGCACTGGGATTGGTGCATAGCTGCCCAAGGGGTGCACTTTGAAGGGAATAGTAGCCAAATTTGAAACAAGTGACTTTATCTGCATATACGGGACCAGTCCTGGAACTTAATGATCGCACCTCATATGGGTTGCTAATATGACAGTTCCCTAAAGTAAAGTTTAGTCCCTTCTCAATTCTTCATCTTCAGAGAATAAGAATATAGAAATATAAATATTATCCTTTAAAGTATTATTGTAATTTCTCATATAATTGGGAACACTATAATGTCGTGGCATTATTAATTGATAAATATGATATGAAATTTGGAAACATACATTACATGTAAGTAAAACAAAATTTTTAGGTCTGTATATAATACATAGTATAAAATTGAAGTATATTAAAAAGATTTTACTAAATAAATGTCCTACATATAAAATTAAACATCTGCAAAGTTAATAAATATATATACAACTTAAATGTATTATAACTTATTTATACTAATGTACGTATTTGAAAACTAGAAATTAAATGACTGATAGAGGAAGATAGGGTAGTCAGAAAGCTGATAAGATAGGTTAAGTTTAAATACATCGAAGCCGGTCCCTTGCGTTGTTGCCATTTTTACCTTATGCACGGCTAGTACTAGACTTTGAATATGTATTGCTAGAGGTAGCATGTCGTTGCAAAAAGTGTGGCGAGTGTACGAGAGAGACGGATAATGCCGAGATACATGTCATTTCATTCTAACACACATGTGATTAGTTGGAAGTAGAAGCTTTCGATCAATTTCATTTAAATCAAACATTTCGTACATACCTTGAAATAATAATGCAAATAAATGATTGTTGTATTATTAAAAATAAATAAGATTACAAAATGTCAAAAAGGTCGTATATCGAATTTTAAAGTGCAAAGTGGTGATCAAAGAGGACGTAATCTACTTTTTTATGTAAGAACTGAAATATTTTTTTATAACAGAATGTATCTCTGAACTTATTTTCTTTATCAGAGTGTTGCCTCTTGTTATACTTTCCTTTTGAAAAAATTATATTTTATGGATCGCCAAATGCTTAGCCATCTAACGGTAAGAGATAGGAACTAAATTTTGAATACAACTTTTGCACTTTTCGATTTTTTCAATTTCTTAATACTTTCAAAACTGTCTAAAGCTAATTAGTATTGTTTTGTGAAACAACTTGAGGTATATTATTGTTTATTAATAGCTTCATTGATAGTAATATAACCAAAGAATATTTATTTAGTGTTCGCAAGTACATATCTTTCATAATATTAAAAACACTTTTGATATTATAACTGTTTCCATTTTTATATAATAAAATAATTCTATTATTAAAATAAATGGATCATACTTGTCATACTTTCATTTTTAAATATTTATTAAAGTATTTAAAAGTGTGAAAAATTGTTAATTTTAAAACGTTACTCAAAAATTAATTTCTATCTTATACAAAAATTATATCAAGTATCATGTTATAGTACTATACTGGAATAAGTGTACAAGGAAATATATGATATGCAAGGTACTCAAAAAATCAAGTTGAATTATAACATACTTTGTTTTATTTGATACAAAGGAATTGTAGAAAAGATTTCATTATAATGTACATTAATTCCAATGGAAAACTAAGGTTTCCCTGGAATCATTCATTCATTTTAAATAATATATACATGTATAGAAATTGTCTGAATCACACTATAATTGCTTTTACAAAATAGTGAACAAAAAGGCACTGTTAAGAATATTCCTTTTATGTTACAAACATACAACTTTAATTCTTTATAATCTTAACAGTTCAACAAACTCTTTTCCCCCCATTCGTATTAAATAATAAAATAACATTATAATAATTTTATTATAATTTGTACATCTCTTATAATGGTAAAAGTGTAATATGTTTCTAAGATATTATAAAAAGTTTAATAATATTGAATATCTCAAAGATATATATTAACCATTGACCTCTATCTTATATTAACAAATATACCAAATAACAGATGTTTAATTACAAAATTTATAAATATTAAAAATTAAACTTAAATATATAAAGAACTATTACTAATAATCACTAAACTACTGCAAATAGTACACTGTTATTGCAGTAACCATTAAACATATTTTCAAGAATTTAAGCACAGTGTTGCGAAAAAGCATGTACATACAAATTATACATAGTTTAGGTATAATTTGTTTGATGCATGTATATTAAAACATTTCATGTGTAGTGTTAAAAATTCAGGTAACACTATTTATTCATTACTTTCTAATTGAGACTTGATTTGGTCTCCAATATGAACTGGTTGAGCTAATGAATTTTGAAACCACATCATCCAGTTATTTAAATAATGACCTCCAAATTGATTATCAGAATTCTCTTTTATCTGCACATTGTTTAATTCTTCAAAATTGCGAACCGTTTGAAGCTCAGTGAAATTATTATTCACTGAATGTCGTCCATGCATTCTTACCTCCCTTTTACGTAGAGCATCTTTTACTAATCTTTGTTTACGTTCCTCTTCTGTTTCAATAGCAGATCTAGTAAATCTCATTTCTCTAACTCTCAAAGCATCTCTTTTTAATCTCTCTTTCCTTTCTTCTTCTGTTTCTTTAGCATATTGATTATGTCGAGCTTCTCTTCGTTTCGTAGATTCTCTATTTAATCTATCTTTTCTTTGTTCTGGTGTTTCGTTAGCATATAAGGAAAGCCTTTTCATCCTTCTTCTTTCTGCTTCACGATCTAATCTTTTTCTTCTGTCTTCAGGTGTTTCGTTATACATTCTGTATTCTCTTTTCCTTGCTGCTTCTACATCTAGTCTTTTTCTTCTTTGTTCTGGAGTTTCATAATACATTCTCATTTCTCGTCTTTTTGCTGCTTCCTTTGCTAGTCTCTGCTGACGTTGTTCTTCACTTTCCTGTTCATATAATTTTTTTCTCTTTTCTCTCATACACTCTGCTTTCCGTCTTAGTTTTTCTTTGTAATCTTCTAACGAATTTGACCTTATCTTTATCTGTTTTATAGATCTTTCAGATCTGCTTTCTTTGGTTTCTAAGCTATTGTTATTTTCTGGTATTTGATCCTTCTGTTTTGTTAACAGCGTTATTGTAGCATCAATGTTATTAGAAACGTCAACTTTTTCTTTGATATTTTTAGAAACCTTTAACTGAAGATCATTTTCAGCATTCACACTGCAGAGCCATTCCGTAGCATAAACTGTTTCTTGATCTACTTCATTTTCTTTTTTTATGTTAAGATTCAGTCCTAGAAGTTCACTTGGTATGGTAACTGTTGAAACACTATAATTAGTTGTCTGTAGTTGTTCATGTGGTTCAATAAAAACTTCAGCTATTTGATTTGTAGACTTTTGTATTTCTATATTTATATTTTCATAGTCTAAGTTTTGCAAATATACTGATCCATTTAAAATGCCATTAATGTTACAATTTTCATTTTGATGAGTATCGTTTAACGTAGGGTGTAAACTGTTCAAATTGTTTGTATGTTGTGTACAATCTTTGTTGTTTACATCTGATTCTTTGCTGCTATTAATTGTAGTACATTCTTTGCTTTCCTTGATTTCGATGGCACAAAAATTTTGAGCTGCACTAATTATTTCAGCATCATTGAAATCTGTTTCGTGTTCGTCATGTTCTTGTTTGATGTATACAGGAAGTAAATTAATGGAACAATCTCTTATTTGTACATTGGTTTCAGTCAATTCCATGACCTTACAATCCGAAGATAAGTAAGTAGATGCTGAAATTATAAAGAATAAGTATAAGTGTACTAAAACAAAAAAGTATAAATACTAGTTTGAAAAGTTGGAAGATAATAATTGAAATTATATTATTGTAATTTCTGTAAAGTTAATACATATGTAATAATTATTAATAAAATATTAAATTTATTTATTAAAAATATTGAACTGACGAAATTTTAAACAAAAAATAAATTTCACCTGTCTATCGTCTGCTTATGACAGCTGATCTTAAATAGTTGATGCTGTGTTTAAAATAGAATCATTATTGCTGCAAACCGCAGACTTTCAGCCATTATCTTTTCCTTGTATGTCACATGTTAACGCAGCATAATCGACAGATTGAATTCGCAACCATGAATCCAATTTCTTAGATTTCGTCGAAATTAATTTACACGTCGAGCTGCTTGATGCTCGTTTACCCACGTCGGTCGGCATTAGGTTTGTTCGCATTGACTGCACTTACTGCACTTGCGCAAAAAGTAGAAACAATCATTGGTTCCTTCTTTTAGTTTTGAACTCCAGCTAATGTTTTTCGCATAGATCGTATAGATGTCGAAACGAATTGACAATCACTAAAAACGAAAAAAAAGTTATAAAAAAGAAGATATTGAAAACGTAGTAATGCGCATACGTAAGGCAGTCATTTTTTAAGCGCGTAGATTTGAAATATTCTACGCAAGCGTAATAATATAACAGATATAGTTAGTAAGATTCTTTATGTTAATTAATAAATCTTCCAGGCTCCATCCTAAAAGATTTGTAAATTAATCTTAATTTTTTAAAAAAATCCAGAAGATTTGTTCTTAAAGTATCTTTATTTAACATGTCGATAAAAAATAATAAAGAAAGTAATTTATTTCAATTGATGTTTACTGTTTTGTGAAAGGCAAAGAAATTTTAATTGTAAAACTATCGAAATTATTCGAAATGAAAAGATGGTTGATAACAGGTGTTAGTGTAAATGTTTTCAACGGAATATAAAACAAATTGGACTTATTCGTTGTAAAACAATCAAGCTATGTATTTATTTATAAATGTTATGACGATTGACGACTGTCTGTCAAGTAAGTATTATTGAAGAAAACAACTACCAACAAATATCAACTAATTTTGGATAAAAAATGGAATCTATTTAATGAAAGATAATTAAATTACACATTTGTACAGCTTATTAGTCTGTATATGATTTATTAACTATAATCAACTATTAAATTTCTTATTTCTCATTTTATATCAACTATAGATTTGACGAATCTAAATATTGCGAATTCCGAAAAAATTATGTGTTTATTCATTAATTTGTTTGTAACATTAAAAACACCTATTTTATTAACTCCACTCACTTTTATTTTATTATTTCGAAATTAATTTGAATTTCAATGCCCATATTTTTTTAAGATTATATTACTGTTACATCTGTTGAAATTTACAGTTTTATTAACTTTTACGTATAAATATATTGTAATTTCGTTCAATTATTATTCTTTGTTAGATTTTTTCTTTTTGAATATTGCACAAATGGGAATTAAAACCAGTCGACTTATTTAAATTAAATTCCTTTTTGTTGTAGATAATCTAGCTAAAAAATCGTTAATTTAAATGGAAATTATATTTTTTTCATCGTGTTATATTGGCTCAGATAATCACGTGGAGAGCTTTTAGTGTATCTTGGGAATTTCAAATTGCAAGGATGAATAACGGAAACAACAAGGAATTTTATAATCACTTGTAGTCCCTTACCTTTAAAGAAATTATGAAATATCGCTCACATTTTGACAGTATAATGCTCCTATTTACTGCAATGTAAACATACAACAATATTCAAATTTAAAAATAGTCGACGCATATCTCCGATATAAGTTTCATAAAAAATGTATCAGAAATATTAGCGAACTTCTTTTACAAAAAGAACAAATAATATTCGACGATTCAAGAATTAAAAATTGTCATAACGTTAGAAGAAAATAATATAAATTTAATTAAACACTTTAATAAGAAGGAGAAAATAAACATTTTTCAGTTAATTAATCGTAATGAAATAACTATTGGTTATTACAAGAAATTTTTGTTTTCATTGGTTAGTAAATGAATGGTATCCTTATACATGAACTTATACCTATGTATAACCTACAAATTTTTATAAAAAGAAAATTATTTATTGTGTGGGACAAAAATTACGAAATTTCTTTGTAAAGTATTGGTTTTCTTGCAGTCTTACATGATATTGTAAAAGAAAAAAGTAATAATATTATTCATAATAGCAAGCTAGATAAAAATGTAAGGTATAGTCGTCTAATTTGGAGAACTCTTCTAACAAGAATGCTCAGATTATTTTCTTACAGAGCTTTTAATTAATCTGTAAGTAACCATGAATGCGTGTTTTATTAACAAGTTGGCTTTGAAAACAATTAAACGTCTTGAGAAACTATATACAGTTACTCCCACTTATATTCGTACAGCATACACGCGTTCAGTATAAATGAGAAAACACCACTTTACCTAGGGATACTTTTTATTTATCTTTATTGAAATTAATTATTACACTGTTCTACATCTATTTACAAAGCGGTTTTACTTTTTATCATTTAGAAACAAAAAAATAGAAAAAGAATGTAATTGTCCATAAAAACCATCTCTCAGCCGTATTCGTACACAAGGGAAAAACGTATTTCTGTTATTAAAATTAGATGAATCAATACTTTGTTTGGTAACCGTTATGCCTAATTACTTCAAATAATCTATTTGGCATAGATTGAACCAATTTTTTTGTAATATCAGTACTGATATTCTTCCATTCTAGGTGCAATGTCTTTTTGAGTTGGTCCACGTTACTTATTTCATATTTACGCAATCTAATTTTTAGTTCTGCCCATAAATTTTCTATGGGGTTGATGTCTGGGCTTTGTGGGGGCGTTTCCATTACTTTCGGACAGTTATACAGCAGCCATTCTCGTGTTATGCAAGCTTTATGCTTTGGATCATTATGATTCCATCAATAATCTGCAAATTTCCACCTCCAGTGGCAGAAAAACACCCCCAAACCATGACGTGTCCACCGCCATACTTTACTGTAGGTTGAAGATTTGACTTTTCAAAGCTGGTATTTGGTTTTCGCCATACAATTTGTCTACCATCAGATTGAAAGACATTAAATTTACTTCCATCGCAAAATATAACACGCTTCCACGATTCATATGTCCATTTTACATATTCTTTTGCAAATTGCAAACGTTTTCGTCTATTTGGTTCACTAATGTACGGCTTCTTCCTGGCAACTCTTCCATTATATCCATATTTCCTCAAAACGCGGCGAACGGTTTCATTACTAACTTTTTTACCTATTTGATTTTCTAACTTCGACGCAACTTTTGGAGCACTAATTTTAGGGTTTATCTTGATTTCTTTTAAAATTTTTCGTTCGTCACGATCAGTTAGTAATTTTTTGTTGAGATTTCGAAGTTTATTTTCTACTCTATTTTCAGTTTTATACCTTTTTATAATATATTGGATAGTAGACCGACTTCTTTTTACAATATTACTAATTTCTTGCAAACTTTTTCCATCTTCATGATGACTTATAATCAATTTTCGCAATTCAATTGACGTTTCTTTACCTTTTCGACCCATTTTGTGTGTTAATGAACAGATTGTTTCTGTTGAAACAAAAGACTAATTGCTAATTGTCTTTTGTTTGGTGTAGAATAAACGGGGAATTCCCGATAAAGTATAAACATTTCCTAGGACGTATATTCTTGTTTGTATGTTGGCTGTACGAATATGGCTGAGAGATGGTTTTTATGGATAATTACATTCTTTTTCTATTAATGGTTTTTATAGATAATTACATTCTTTTTCTATTTTTTTGTATTTCTAAACGATGAAAAGTAAAACCGCTTTGTAAATAGATGTAGAACAGTGTAATAATTAATTTTAATAAAGATAAATAAAAAGTATCCCTAGGTAAAGTGGTGTTTTCTCATTTATACTGAACGCGTGTATGCTGTACGAATATGAGTGGGAGTAACTGTATTTGTAAAATGTATTGTAGAAAATTTTTGTAGTCATTCGATTAAGTTATAAATACTTCAACAATGTTAAGTGTATAATAATTTTCATAGATACTGTTAATAATGTCCGTACTAATGTTTGTCGTTAATAATTCCAAAACAAAGCCTTAAATTTCATTTCTGCAAAGGGAAAAGTTGTTAGGAATCAGTGACAACCCCTTTCCGAGAGTTGTACTAGTTGTGAGACATCCTGTATAGTGCATGCAACGGAGTTTAAGACTTATTACTTGTACATTATTAAACAACCAAGATCCAACCTTAAAGCTATTTGATAATTATAATGATATTGTTTCCAAATATGTGAGCTTTTGAAATTGCTATTATAAGACGTGTTTTGGTGAATAACCAGTCGGTTTTAAAATTTATTTTTTCCATATTTTTTCTTACATAAAACTTGTGTAAAATTTATTCTTTTAGTACTTTAGTATTCATGGTCGCACCAACAACACTTTCTTAATGGTTAAGTTAATTTCATACATTGACAGGTGAAGTATTTAAAGTATTATCAATATGTTCATGCAAACTGCTGTGGCGATAGAGTAAATCTCATACATATATCCAATTTGTGGAAAATATAGAAAAACTGAGTTGCAGGTACAAGTACTGAATCTTATTTTGCGTTATAAAATTTCGCATCGATTAGTTAATTTTTAGGACAAGAATATTAAATTTCAATATACTTACTATCATTTATTGTGTAGAATTAAGCTGTGTATTTGATCAAATTAAGTGCATTTTCTTTGTTGCAAATTTACGACCATCTTTTTAGGTTCACTTCAGTCTCTTGTTACAGATAAAATTCGTGTATGCTATAGGAAAATGTAACAAACTAATTAATATTCTATTACATAGTATCTATTACATAGTATTACAAATGTCGAAAAGAAATTCGTATACAAGTTAATAAATTAAAAATTGCATACGCATTGTCTTAAACTTACAACATAACAGATTGATAACTTGTTACTGTAATGATATTTTAAATATCACAGTAACGTGTATTAATATTAAGTACAAATTAATTACAATAAACTGAATTGTTCATTTCATATAAAATTAGATTACACGTAGGTATGATTTACAAGTCTAATTGTTACACAAGCCCAATTAAAATGTTGATAAAAGTGTTCTCAGTCGATAGTTACAATTTTTTAGATCACTTTACTTAATTTGGATACATTTTAACTTCGCAAATGTAACCTAGCAATCATAAATGAATTTTTCATACTGTAAACATTTTTTGTATAAACATGATCGTGCATCTTTTATTTTGAACACCGTACGATGAATGTAATGTACGATCATGCAATCATATGAGTTGATTGCGAGAACTTTTGTTATAAATAAGTATTCATTCGTTATTGTGATTTCGCCAATTACCCACGTATTTTGAAAATTATTAAATCCTGGAATTATTTTAATAGTTAAGTCCTTTTATTTTACGTTTGTCTCTTACAATACGCTTCATTTTATTTTTGACGTTATGTTGTTCCCAACGATGTGTCTCATGTCCTTAATAAATGTCACAATTT